TGGAAACACCCCAATTTGCCCTGGTGACCCCAAACATTTCCAATCCCTGGATTTGGTTTTTCCTTGGAAACACCTCAGTCTGCTCTGGTGACCCCAAACATTTCCCATCCCTGCACTTGGTTTTTCCTTGGAAACTCCCCAGTCTGCTCTGGTGACCCCAAAATTTCAGGATTTTACTTTTCCTTGGAAATGCCCCAGTCAAACATTTCCAATCCCTGGATTTGGTTTTTCCTTGGAAACACCTCAGTCTGCTCTGGTGACCCCAAACATTTCCAATCCCTGGATTTGGTTTTTCCTTGGAAACACCTCAGTCTGCTCTGGTGACCCCAAAATTTCCTATCTCAGGATTTTACTTTTCCTTGGAAATGCCTCAGTTTGCTCTGTCAACCCCACCAAATCCCAGATTTTCCCATTACAGTGTTTGATTTTTCCTTGGAAACTACTCAGTCTTCTCTTTTGACCCTGGCAAACCCCAACATTTTCCATCCCAGAATTTGGTTTTCCCTTGGAAACACCCCAGTCTGCTCTGTTGACCTCACCCAATCCCAAATTTTCCCATCCCAGGACTGGGTTTTTCCTTGGAATCGCCCCTCTGGTGACCCAAACATTTCCTATCCCTGGATTTGGGTTTTCCTTTGAAACATGCCAGTCTGCACTGTTGACTCCACTGAATCCCAAATTTTCCCATCCCAGCATTGAGTTTTTCCTCAGAAACACCCCAGTGTGCTCTGTTGACCCCACTGAATCCCATATTTCCCCATTCCAGGATTGGGATTTTCCTTGGAAACAACCCAGTCTCTTCTGTTGGCCCTGACAAACCCCAAAATTTCCCATCCCAGAATTTGGTTTTCCCAGTCTGCTATGTTGACCTCACTAAACCCCAAATTTTCCCATCCAAGGATGGGTTTTTCCTTGGAATGGCCCCAATCTGCTCTGGTGACCCCACTGAATCCCAAATTTCCCCATCCCAGGACTGGGATTTTCATTGGAAACAGCCCAATTTGCTCTGTTGACCCTGACAAACCCCAAAATTTTCCATCCCAGAATTTGGTTTTCCCTTGGAAAGACCCCAGTCTGCTCTGCTGACCTCACAAAACTCCAAATTTTCCCATCCCAAGATTGGGCTTTTCCTTAGAAACTCCCCAATCTGCCCCCACCAAACCCCAACATTTCCTCTCTGAGGATTGGGTTTTTCCTCAGAAACACCTCAGTTTGCTCTTCTGACCCCACTGAATCCCAGAATTTCCCATTGCAGGAGCAGCTCCGAGACCAAAGCCCTGTTTGAGAGGCACAAGCCCACCCACGTCATCCACCTGGCCGCCATGGTCGGAGGCCTCTTCAAAAACATCCGCTCCAACCTGGATTTTTGGGTGAGCACCCACGGAATTGGCACTGCCGGGATCCCCGCGGGTGCTCCGCTCCCCAAATTGGGATGTGGGCACACAGGGATGTGGCTTGCTCTGCTCCCGGAGCCAAGCCAGAGCTCCAAGGGTTTTTGGAGTTATTAATGAGCTGTTGATTAAGGGATTTGGGGATTCCCAACTCCACCATCCTGACAAATGTCCCTTTTCCCAGAGGACAAACATCCACATCAACGACAACGTGCTGCACTCTGCCCACGAGCTGGGAGTGCAGAAGGTGGTCTCCTGCCTCTCCACCTGCATCTTCCCAGACAAGACCACCTATCCCATCGACGAGACCATGGTGAGAGAATACCCATTCCCACACAAAATCCAGGGAAAGTCCCTGCCCTGCTCTATTTATCCGCTCTGATATTCCCAGATCCACAACGGGCCACCTCACAGCTCCAACTTTGGCTACTCCTATGCCAAGAGGATGATTGATGTCCAAAACAGGTGAGCACAGCCATTGGTTTTCCAGGCAAGGGGAATCCAGTGGGAATTCCAGGTGGAAGTTGGGGAGATACCTGGGCTCAGCAGGTGAAGGTGCTGCTGGCCGGGGTTTTTTGGGGGCACATCAGAGTTGGAGGAAGGGGTTTGACAGCCCACCCACCATCCCTTCCCTGCTGCCTTCCAGGGGATATTCCGAGCAGCACGGCCGACGCTTCACCGCCGTCATTCCCACCAACGTCTTCGGGCCGCACGACAACTTCAACATCGAGGACGGCCACGTCCTGCCAGGGCTCATCCACAAGGTCTACCTGGCCAAACGTGAGGGTGGCAGGACTTCCAGGGATTTTCTGGGGAGAAATGAGGGGGTTTTGTGTCTCCCACCTGCTCTGTGGGGTGGTTAGAGGTGGCTCTGGTGGTCACGGCTCCTTCCTCCCTCAGAGTCCGGCTCCGCTCTGACTGTCTGGGGAACGGGCAAGCCCAGGAGACAGTTCATCTATTCCCTGGTAGGTGTGGCCTTGGGAAGCAGGGAATGGGGCTGGAGGACCCACTGGCAGGACCCCAGAGGGGTCATCCCCACTCTGGGACATCCCCAGAGATGTGTTCCCTTGGGATGGGAGGGTTGGGAGACATCACTGACCTCTCCAAGAGTTTGCTCTTCCACAGGACCTGGCACGACTTTTCCTTTGGGTGCTGCGGGAATACGATGAGGTGGAACCAATCATTTTGTCAGGTAATTCCTGGCTGTCCCCCAGGAGTCTCCTCTCCATGAGGGAACAGCCATGATCCTTCCCTTCTCCACAGTGGGAGAAGAAGATGAAGTCTCCATCCGGGAAGCGGCAGAGGCCATCGCGGAGGCCATGGAATTCAGGGGAGAGCTCGTTGTATCCTTCACAAAAGTCTAAGCCCCTCTTCCCACCAGCTCCCCTGGGAGATTCCGTGATCCAGAGGGTCCTTCCCACCCAAGGAGCAAGAGCAAGATGTGTTTTTCCTCCTTGATCATTCCCATCCCAGTTTGACACCACCAAGTCCGACGGGCAGTTCAAGAAGACGGCCAGCAATGCCAAGCTCCGGCGGTACCTGCCCGGATTCCAGTTCACACCTTTCAGGAAAGGTGGGATGGGGGAGCCTCCAGGAGACACCGGGGGTCCTGCCCCGTGCCATCAGCCTTGGTGGCATCAAGGGGGTCCATCCATTCTGGATGAGGAATGAGGGTGGTGAAACGCTGGCACGTGTTGCCCAGGGAGGTGGTGGTTTCTCCATCCCTGGAAATATCCAGGATCAGGTTGGATGGGGCATGGAGCAACCTGGTCTCATGGGAGGTGTCTCCTTGCGTGGTGGTTGGATGAGAAGACCTAAAAAAAGTCCCTTTCAACCCAACCTATCCCATGATTCTCTGACCAAAATCAATTCCCAATCTCAGAATCTGTCCCATGATTCTCTGACCAAAATCCATTCCCAATCCCCAAACCCATCCCATGATTCTGTGATCAAAATCCTTTCCCTGTCCCCAAACCCATCCCATGATTCTCTGAGCAAAATCACTTCCCAATCCCCCAAACCCTGTCCCATGATTCTCTGACCAAAATCCATTCCCAATCTCAAAAGCCGTTCCAAGATTCTGTGACCAAAATCCATTCCCAATCCCCAAACTCATCTCATGTTTCTCTGACCAAAATCAATTCCCAATCCCAAAACCCTCCCTTGATTCTATGACCAAAATCCATTCCCAGTCCCCAAACCCATCCCATGTTTCTCTGACCAAAATCAATTCCCAATCCCAAAATCCATCCCATGATTCTCTGACAAAAATCCATTCCCAATCCCCCAAACTCATCCCATGATTGTCTGACCAAAATCCATTCCCAAAATCCCTTCCCAATCCCCAGACCTATCCCGTGATTCTCTGACCAAAATCCGTTCCTAATCCCCAAGCCCATCCCATGTTTCTCTGACCAAAATCAATTCCCAATCCCAAAATCCATCCCATGATTCTCTGACCAAAATCCATTCCCAAAAAACAATCCCAAAACCCATCCCGTGATTCTCTGACCAAGATCCATTCCCAATCCCAAAATCAATCCCATGATTCTCTGGCCAAAATCCATTTCCAATCCCCAAACCCATCCCGTGATTCTCTGACCAAAATCAATTCCCAATCCCCAAACCCATCCCATGATTCTCTGACCAAAATCCCTTCCCAGTCCCCAAACCCATCCAATGATTCTCTGACCAAAATCCATTCCCAATCTCAAAAGCCGTTCCAAGATTCTGTGACCAAAATCCATTCCCAATCCCCAAACCCATCCAATGATTGTCTGACCAAAATCAATTCCCAATCCCAAAACCTGTCCCATGATTCTGTGACCAAAATCAGCTCCCAATCTCAAAACCTCTCCCATGTTTCTCTGACCAAAATCCATTCCCAATCCCCAAACCCATTCCGTGATTCTCTGACCAAAATTTGTTCCCAGAATCCATTCCCAATCCCCAAACCCATCCCATCTTCTCCCTCCCCAGCCGTGAAGGAAACCTGTGCCTGGTTCAACGCCAACTATGCCAACGCCAGGAAGTGACGGCACCGGGACCGCCTGGCACCGGGATCATCCTCTTCAACTCAGGGTTGTCCTTTGCTGGGGCAGAGGACGGGGCTGGGGGGGTGACAGTGACATTTCCAAAGTAAAAATGGGAGCCTGGGGAGCAGCTCCCACATTCCTGCCCCACTGCTGGGAGCGGCGCAGGACGCCCAGGGCAGGGGGGAGGAAAGTTGGGGCATCCCAAAAAGATCCCAAATCAAGTGGTAGGAGCCAGCTGGAGCCGTGGCTGTGTCCAAGTGGGTGGTGGCTCTGAGCTGTTAATGAGCTACACTAATTACCTGCAATTAGGTGTAATAAAGGGAAGGTAATCAGGAATCCAGGGCGTGGAAATGGCAGCAGGGAATTTGCTGCTGTTCTTGGCACATGGGGATGATCCCACAGCCCCCTATCTCAGGATAGGAATGGGAAAGACTCCAGCTGTAAACGTGGCATTTATTAAAATATATGCAAATAGCATAAAACTGGTGGGATAATGAACATCCGCCCTGTTCCCACATCCAGTGGCATCCTTAGGGTCCATGTTCTCCACCAGGATATGGAATAGCCATAAAAAGGATTAAAAACCCCTCAGGGAGGGGGTAGAGGGTCAAAAACGGGGGGATGAATCCATGGCCAAGCTACTGCCAGTGGTGTGGATGTGGCAGAATTCCAGCCCAGGAATCGCCTTCTTCCGGCACCGCTGCCCAGCCCTGGTGAGCCCCAGGCACGGGGACCTACAGAGGAGACACCCATCAGGACCCCAGGAAGCCACCAGCAGCGGGGCGTCCCCCTGAGGTGACACCAAGCCATGGAGAAGGGACATTCTGGGTGGTTGGTGCTCACATGTTGGCCCTCGGGCTGCAGGGTTTGGGCTCCCAGAGCTTCCCAGCATCCATGACCGGCTCCGGTGTCACCTGGTTTGGGAAGAAGGGGGTTCCTGCAGATGTCCCTTGTCCCCTGGGGTGCCTTGGCCATCTTCAGGACACCCTTTTCCACCCCAAATTCCTCCCTGTGTGTCAAGTGCCCAGCCCTGTCTGTCTCCCAAGGGGTTGTCCCACAGCCAGAGGTGCCACCATGGTGAGGACAACCCAACCTTGCAGGACCTGGCCCTCAGGGAGACCCAGCTGGCCCCCCAGAGCAGGTTTTGGGGGACAACACCAACATGGGGACACCCCACCCAGCACCTTACCTCACACGGGCTCGGTGCTGTCCTCTGGCCACCAGGGTTGGGTGACACCTGCCCTGTGAATTTGGGAATGTCCCCGGCCACCTCTTGGGGCTGCTCCAGGTGCGAGGGCTCTGCAAGAACATGGCAGGGTTGGAGATACCCTCCCAGAGCTCCTGTCCCCAGGTGGAGGACGGGGACACTCTGGGGTGTTGGCACATGCCCTGGCAGAGCTTGGGGACACTCTGGGATAACACACATCCCAGCACAAGATGGGGTTTGGATCTGTGTCCTACAGCCACCACGCCTCCCACCTTGTGGGCACCTCTCACTTTGCAGGCAGCTCATCTCCATCCTGTCCAGCTCCTCTTGCAGCAGCTCCATGTCGCATTCCCTGTGTGGGAAGAAGGAAAATCGGACTCCTGTCACCTTGGTGGCTCTGTGTCACCACCACAAGGGAGACATGCACCTCTCCACACCCTTCCCTGAGCAGAAATAAGTCAGGGAGGTGGGAAGAGGTGCCCAAAAGCCACAGGAAAGCCATCGGGATAGGTTCTGTCCTTTCCTGGAGATGGCTCCAGGATGGGACACCCAGGGATGTGACACTGAGCAGGAACAGGACATGGAGCTGGGATGAGGTGTCCAAAAGCTGTAGGAAAGCCACCCAAGATGTGCCCTGTCCTTCCCTGGAGACCTCTGCCAGATGTCTGCAGGGTGGAACATCCAGGATGGGAAATTCAGGATGAGGCACCAAGGATGGGGCATCCAGGATGAAATATCTGAACAGAAATGGAAAGAGTTGGGATGAGGTGTCCCAAAGGGAAGCCAGAAAGAATGTGTCCTGTCCTTCCTTGGAGACCTCTGCCAGATGGCTCCAGGGTGGAAAATCCAGGATGGGAAATTCAGGATGAGGCACCAAAGATGGGACACCCAGGATGGAATATCTGAACAGAAATGGTGCAGGGAGTTGGGATCCTGTCCTTCCCTGGAGACCTCTGCCAGATGGCTCCAGGGTGGAACATCCAGGATGGGAAATCCGGGATGCGGCACCAAGGATGGGACACCCAGGATGGAATATCTGAACAGAAATGGAAGGAGTTGGGATGAGGTGTCCAAAAGCTGTAGGAAAGCCATCCAAGATGTGTCCTGTCCTTCCCTGGAGACCTCTGCCAGATGGCTCCAGGGTGGGAAATCCAGGCTGGAAGATCCAGGCTGGAAGATCCAGCAGCTCCCAAGGGTTCCATGCCACCTCCTCAACCATCTCCTACCTCTCCGGGGTGGAGGTGAGCCGGTACCGAGCCTTTTCCTGTGGAACCACTGGCCAGATCCTTCCGGCACCGCGGCAGGCGGATGCCACCCAATGCCCTGTGGGAAAACCAGAGGCTGGGAGAGGACAGAGCCCTCCCCACAGGGTGGTGTGTCCCCAGCCACTGTCCCCACATTGTCCCCACCTGCTGCAGCAAGGACCAGGAGAGTGGAGGTTGCTGGAACGCCGAGGGCACGGGAAGCGAGGAAGAGGAGGAGAAGGATGGGCCGGAATGGCGGCGGCACCAGCGGGAGAACCAGGAGTGCCAAGTATGAGCCGTGCGGGATGCAGGAGGAGGTGACACTTTGGCTCTGACCTGTGGGACAGGAGGAAGAGCCCGGTGTTGGCACCCACCAGCTCCCACGGATCCTCCAGGCCCCGTTCCCGCTCACCATCCGGGGCAGGGATGGATTTGAGGTGCTCCAGGTGCTTTTCCAGCCGGCTTCGTGCATCTTCCAAGGCTGTCAGCATCAGCTCCAGGCTCTGGTTGACCCTCTGCAGCTTCTCCATCACCTCCTGAAGGAGCAGGATGCTCTCTGCATACGGAAAAGATGGAAACAGCAGTGGGAAGATGCACCCTGGTGTGAAAAAACCTGGGAATGGGATTCCCTGTGTTCCCACCTGGCTGGGGATGAACACCCCGAGGTCTTTCCTGCTCCTGGTGGAGGCTGGGTGGGACAACCTGGTGTCCACCCCGGAGCTCTGCAGCCCCACGGCTGCTCAGGTTCCCTGTGGGGTGGGAAGAGAGGTTGGATCAGTCCCAAAGCGGGATATGGGAGTGTTGCAGCACCCCAACCCTGGCTCGTACCCATCCGGCGGGAGATGTCCTGCACCAGCTGGGCCACGGGGGTCTCCTCCAGTGCTGACCTCATCCAGGTCTCCCAGAGCTCCTCCTGAGGAGGATATTTGGGGGGTGATGATGGGGGAGTGCTGGGTTTCCCCATGGACACCCCAAATGGGTGCTCCCAGCACAGGATGGGGGACAGAGGAGGGAGTTTGGGGATGTAAAATATGGAAAAAGATGTGAGCTCACCCCAGAATTCAACCTTCACACCCCCCCAAAAAACCATCCCTACACCAAGCAAAGAGGCTGCCCAGGATGGGGGATCCCAGAACCCAAATTTCCCAACCCAGAGGGATTCCCAGAGCCACCCCACAGTAACAGGATGTCCAGGTGTGACACCTCCTGGGATGTGGCTTCATCCTGGAGCCAGCTGTCACCCGTGATTGTCTCGAGGAGGATTTGTGGGGGGGTCCCCACCTTCTCTGGGAGGGCAGCAAGGCCCAGCCACCCCAAAAACCCAGCAGTGGCGCCGAGGAGCAGCACAGCCCAGGAGCTCTGGAGCAGCATGATGGGAACGGAGGGGCTCCTATGGGGAAAAAAAGTGGGAAAAAACCCCTTATTCATGTACAAATTACAGAGCACCCCCCTCCCCAAATTTCAGGGATCCACCCCACTAAGGGGAACCTCCCAAAATCCCAGTGATCCCGGTGGGTGAGGAGCACCCTGGAGTGGCAAGCAGCTCCCACATCCACCGACAAATATGGGGACACCCCCTCGGAGAGTCACCCCCACAAACCCATGGAGGCCGTGGGGCCAGGAGAGTGGGAAGCACCTCCCACATCCCCGGACACCCTTGGGGACCTCCCCCACGCCACATTTGGTCCCCCACCCCCGTGGTGGGGACCCCCTCGTGTTTCCCAGGGGTGCCGAGCGCTGCGGGGAAGATTTGGGAAGGATTTGGGAATTCCCTCCAGGACCCCCATGCGTGCACCTGCGCGAACCACGTGGCGCCGGCGCCTGCGCAGTTCCCCCTCTTTACCCCACTCGCCCCGCCCCTTAAAGCGGATCCACCAATAGCAGAGCGGGGTGTGGCTGCTCAAAGCCAATCAGCGCCGGGGGCGTGGCTCTGGGGGCGTGGCCTGGCGCAGCCATGGAGGCGCCCGAGCTGTGGGTCGGGTTCGTGGGCGCCGGGCGCATGGCCGGGGGGCTCGTCCGGGGGCTGCTGCAGGCGGGTACGGGACGGGAGGGTCCGGGACACACGGGCAGGGGAGGGGACATGGGGACAGTCCTGGTCTGGCGCCTTCCCGGCGTCCTGTGGCGCGGGGAAGTGCGGGGGGACACGGGGACAGCGCTGCTCTGGATGCTCCCTGCACTCCCTTCCCTGCTGTGCAGTGGAGGGACATGGGGACAGTCGCGTCCTGACCTGTTCCTAAAGGACGCCAGCCTGCCCCCGCGTCCCTGTCCTCCAGCGCAGGGACGTGGGGACAACTCTGTCCTGGCTCATTCCCAAGGTCCCAGCCCTTTCCCGGTTCCCTGTGCTCCATTGGAGGGACACGGGGACATCCCTGCCTTGGCCTGTTCCCAAGGTCCCAGCCCTTCCCTGGGTTCCTGTCCTGCGCTGGAAGGACATGGGGACAGCCCTGTCCTGCTGCTATTCCTGGGGGACGCTGCTCTTCCCTGGTGTCCCTGTCCCCCAGGTCAGTGTGGGGATATTGGGACAGCCCTTTCCTGCCGCTATTCCCCGGGGACCCTGCTCTTCCCTGCTGTCCCTGTCGCACAGATCAGTGTGGGGACATGGGGACAGCCCTGTCCTGCTGCTCTTCCCTGGTGTCCCCAGCCCCCTTTGCCCCATGTCCCCCTTTGGGATTGTGCTGGGATTGTAGGAATCACATCCCGGTGGAAACTGGGGTGTCTGGGCTGTCCTCCCAACCCTGGGGACACCCTGGCCACTTGCCCCATTCCCTGTGTCCCCCCAGGGAAGGTTCCAGCCAGCAACGTCCTGGCCAGCGCTCCCTCGGACAAAAACCTGGATGCTTGGAGGGTGAGTGGGGCCAAGGGGGTGGGAGATTTTGGGGTGTCCCTCACTGGGGGGTCAGAGCACCCTTTCCCCCACACTGGGGTTTGGCTCATCCTTCCCAGATCTGGGTGAGATCCAGGCAGAGCCTCGGTGGCTTTGTGACCACAGCAGGTCCCCAGGCTGTGTTCCTGCTTTTGGATGTGCTGTTACCGTGGGGATGCTGTTTTTGGGATGCTGTTTTTGGGGGTTCCAGCCTGTGAACTCTGTCCCTGTCCCTGGGCAGAAGTTGGGCTGCAGATTCCTGCTTTTGGATGTGCTGTTACCGTGGGGATGCTGTTTTTGGGATGCTGTTTTTGGGGGTGCCAGCCTGTGAACTCTGTCCCTGGGCAGAAGTTGGGCTGCAGGACCACGCACTGCAACCTGGAAGTGGTGCACAGGAGCACCCTGGTCTTCCTGGCCACCAAACCCCACATCTTGCCGGCTGTCCTGGAGGAGATCCGTCCTGCCGTGGGGTCCCACCACATCGTCGTGTCCCTGGTGGCCGGCGTCACCATCCAGACACTGCAGCGGGTGAGACTCCTCCTTCTCCTTCTCCTTCTCCTTCTCCTTCTCCTTCTCCTTCTCCTTCTCCTTCTCCTCCTTTTTCTCCTTCTCCTCCTTTTTCTCCTTCTCCTTCTTTTCTCCTTGTCTCCTGCTCCTCCTTCTCTCCTGCTTCTCCTTTTCTCCTCCTCATTCTCCTTTTCCTTCTCCTTCTCCTTCTTTTCTCCTTCTCTCCTGCTCCTCCTTCTCTCCTGCTTCTCCTTTTCTCCTCCTCATTCTCCTTTTCCTTCTCCTTTTCTCGTCTTCTGCTCCTCCTTCTGCTTCTCCTTTTCTCTTTCTTTTCCTCCTTCTTCTTTTCTCCTTTTGCTTCTGTTTCCCCTTCCTCTTCTCCTTCTTCTTTTCCTTCTTCTTATTTTCTCTTTCTCTCCTGCTCCTCCTTTTCTCCTTCTTCTCCTCTCCTTTTGCTTCTGTTTCCCCTTCCTCTCCTCCTTCTTCTCTCCTTCTCTTCCTCCTCATCCACCTCCTAATTCTCTCCTCCTTTTTGCTTCTCCTTCTCCTTCTCCTCCTTTTCTCCTTCTCCTCCTTTTTCTCCTTCTCCTTCTTCTCCTTCTCCTTCTTCTCCTTCTCCTTCTTTTCTCCTTCTCTCCTGCTCCTCCTTCTCTCCTGCTTCTCCTTTTCTCCTCCTCATTCTCCTTTTCCTTCTCCTTTTCTCGTCTCCTGCTCCTCCTTCTGCTTCTCCTTTTCTCCTGCTCCTCCTTTTCTCCTTCTTCTCCTCTCCTTTTGCTTCTGTTTCCCCTTCCTCTCCTCCTTCTTCTCTCCTTCTCTTCCTCCTCATCCACCTCCTCCTCCTTTTTCGTTGTCCTTCTCCTTCTCTCCTTTCTTTTTCCTCTTCCTCTTTCTTCTCTTCCTTCTTCTCCTTCTTCTCCTCCTTCTCTTCCTCCTCATCCACCTCCTAATTCTCTCCTCCTTCTTCCTTGTCCTCATCCTGATCCTCCTTCTCCTCCTCCTCTTCCTCTCCTTTCTTTTTGCTCTTTCTCCTTGTCCTCCTTCTTCCCCTCTTCCTCCTCATCCACCTCCTCCTCCCTTCTCCTTCTCCTTCTCCTTCTCCTTCTCCTTCTCCTTCTCCTTCTCCTTCTCCTTCTCCTTCTCCTTCTCCTTCTCCTTCTCCTCTCCTTTCTTTTTCCTCTTCCTCTTTCTTCTCTTCCTTCTCCTTCTTCTCCTTCTTCTCCTCCTCCTATTCCTCCCCATCTACATCCTCCTCCTTCTCTCCTCCTTTTTCGTTGTTCTTCTCCTTCTCCTTCTCCTCCTCCTCTTCCTTCTCATCCACCTCCTCCTTCTCTCCTCCTTTTTCCTTGTCCTCCTTCTCCTTTTCCTCTCCTTTCTTTTTCCTCTTCCTCCTCCTCTTTCTTCTCCTTCTTCTTCCTCTCCTCCTCTCCCTCCTTATCCACCTCATCATCCATCTCTCCTCCTTTTTCCTTGTCCTCCTTCTCCTCTTCCTTCTCCTCCTTTTTCTCATCCTCCTCTTCCTCCTCATCCACCTCCTCCTCCTTTTTCCTTTCCTCATCCTCTTTCTCCTCCTTTCTCTCTTCCTTCTTTTTCATCTCTCATTCTCCTCTTCCTCCTTTCCTCCTCCTCCTCCTCTCCTTTCTCCTCCATTTGCACCCAGGTCCCCACCCGAGAGCCCCTCCAGCTCCCTCCCCGTGCTCCTCACTTCTCCTCCAGCCTGAGGGGTGACACCCACCGGCGTCTCCACTCACCCTTGGGTTCTTCCCAGGGCTGGCCCCCCTTCTCCCATCCCCATCTTTCCCCAGCTCCTCCCGCCCTGGACCAAAGTGCTGCGCATCATGCCCAACCTGCCCTGCGTGGTGCAGGCGGGGGCCATGGTTTTCTCCCGGGGCACCAACGCGGGTGACGAGGAAGCCGCGCTCCTCAAGAGCCTCCTGTCCTCCTGCGGCCTCTGCGAGGAGGTCCCCGAGTCCTACATCGACATCCACACCGGGCTCAGCGGCAGCGGCGTGGCCTACGTAAGCCAGGGGGTGCTCTCCAGGGATTTGGGGTGCCCCGCTGTGCTCCAGGCTCACCCCTGGCTGCTCCCCTCTTCCCAGGTGTACCTGTTCGCCGAGGCGCTGGCCGAGGGCGCGGTGAAGATGGGAATGCCGGGCGCCTTGGCCAGCAGGATCGCGGCGCAGACGCTGCTGGTGAGTCCTTGGCACACGCTGGCATCGCCCCCCTTCCCTCCTGCTCCTGGGCTCCACAACATCCATCGGGATGAGATGCTGGATGCTGCTCTGCCTCAGTTTCCCCTCTTGGAAGCAGAAATGAAGCCACCAGAAGGGCGAAGGGGATGGCGGTGGAACAGTCCCTCTATGGTTTGAGTGTCCCAAGACGAGGGAAGAGATGAGAATCTTGACTCCATGTTTCAGAAGGCTGATTTATTATATTATGATATTATATTATATTAAAATACTATATTAAAACTATACCAAAAATAATAGAAAGGATCCATTAAAATACTATATTAAAACTATACCAGAAAGAATAGAGAGAAAAAACTATATCAAAAATAATAGAAAGGATCCATTAAAATACTATATTAAAACTATACCAAAAACAATAGAAAGGATCCATTAAAATACTATATTAAAACTATACCAAAAAGAATAGAAAGGATCCATTAAAATACTATATTAAAACTATACCAAAAAGAATCGAGAGAAAGGATCCATCAGAAAACTGGAAAGGAATAGAAAGGAATGGAATGACGACAAAAGCTGGTGACTGGCAGAGAGTCCGAGCCAGCTGACTGTGATTGGCCATTAATTAGAAACAACCATGGACCAATCACAGATGCACCTTTGCATTCCACCGCAGCAGATAATTATTGTTTTTCTTCTCCTCTGAGGCTTCTCAGGAGAAAAAAAACCCCGGCAAAAGGATTTTTCAGAAAATATCACAGCGACATTCCCTCGCCATGAGGGTGGTTGGGATGGTGCTGCCATCCAACCATGGAAAGGGGAATTTGGGAAGTCCCAGATCTGACTTTCTTGGTGTGCTGGTGTCCCACAGGGTGCAGCCAAGATGCTGCTGGAGACGGGGGAGCACCCGGCCAAGCTGCGGGGGGACGTCTGCACGCCCGGGGGCACCACGATCTACGCCCTGCACCAGCTGGAGAAGGGAGCGCTCCGGGCCACCGTCATGGATGCCGTGGAGGCGGCCACCAACCGGGCGTATGACATGGCCAAGGACTAGTGCACAAACCCCTTCTGGGGCAGGAGGGGCGGTGGGGACCAAAGCGAGCTCCTCGGAGGAGCGGGATCCTGGCATCTTCGGGAGAACGTGGGTGAGGGTGGGAGGTGGTGTGGACACGTGTTACCTCAGCTGGAACCAAATAAACGTGGCCAGAGCAATGGGGGAGTGTGGATTTTTGTGGTTCCTCTGGTCCTGGGGGGCTGTGGAAGCCACCACGGGGTCGCT